TTCTTATTTTCTATCACGCAACGCATTCTTGATGTTAAGACGATACGAATCTCTCTTCAGCTTATAGTTGCAAAATATGTAAAACGAATTTATTAGGCCTTATTTTCAATTCTCTATATTATTTCTATGATTAATTGTGTTTACCACGCATCAAAACGGATTTTTTCCCTTTATATACCCTTTGATTCCTTTATGATTAAGTTTTCTCAATTTAGTTTATTTTTTTTAGCCTTGAATTAGTTCAGTCAGAATTTTTTTTTTTTACATGCGCGCGATGGCTTACATTATATATACATCGATATACTATAGCTCTTCCTCGTTTTACCGTCTATTTTAAACAGATAGAACGTCTTCCAATCACCAAAATTAATTGATTTTTTAGTCCTATTCAGATACAAGATGTAGCAGACGTTCATGAACAACATACACAAGAGCAGTCACAAAAACATAATACAATGCGAAAACTATTAGGGAATGCTGAACGCCAAAAACGATTTCGTGCTAAAAAAGGAGCATTAAGTAATTGATCAACTCAAAGCAGCTTTGATCAACCACGAACTAGTGCTGAACGTCAAAGATTATACAAAGCAAATAAGAAATTACGACAAAAAAATACAGAAACTCAAGAAGAAGAGTTTGCACAAACCCAAGAAGAGCACTATGTACAACATCTCGTTAAAGAATGTTAAATGTTGCAAATAAAATATATATTTTACATTTAAAAGGAAATTAAATTAAATTTACCCATTCCTGATCCATTTATAAATTATTAGACTAACATGAATATTAAAATTATAAAATAAAATTATTATTGCCATCATGCGTTAAACAATTTAAATATTTTATGGTTTCTATTAATTTATGAAGTTATCACTTCTGTCGAGCGTCCCGTGAGGCACGCCATTTTTTTACTCGCTTTGTCCATAAATATTGTGAATTTTTCCGTGGCAATAAAGCATATTTTGATTTTATTTGATTTCTATTTCTGCTGTTTATTCCTTCCTCCAGTATTCTTTCGCGTGGACTTGGCGCACTTAACATTTCAATATTGGAAAGTGTGCTTCAAGACACAAACTCCTTTTATAATCATTTTACTTTAAAATACAGTTCCTTCCAATCTATTTTCCGTTTCCCAAAACAACCACTGAAAAAGTTAATCAAAAATCTATTCTTATGGGTACTGGGAACCCACCTGCTAACGACCCAGCAAGAGTCTGGCAAGTGAAAAACCTTTTATGTAGTTGCAGTTTAATGAACTAGGAGAAAATGAGAAGGGTGAGGGTAAAATCGACTGCCAAATGCTCAATCCAAAAGCCACGTGCCCCGTGAAATATTTTATTGTGATCGTCATTCGAGTGGAAGGTGCTCTTTGTCATGATATACCTACTTTGTCATTGATAGTGAGCCAGATGGTGCCTCCAATGAACTTGTTTCGGGAAACTGTACTTTCATCCATGATTAATGATTATTTCCTCATTAGTGAAGTCATTTAATGTGCTTTGGATAAATGAGATTAAAACTTCTATCATCATTTTACAAACATTTCTATTCAACATAATACATTCTTCAGGGTGCGTCGACTGCTAAAAACTCTTTGCAACTGTGTTAACAGTCTCTACTTACATGAACTAAATTTTGGTAACTGCATTCGAGTCTTAGAGGATCTATATTGATATAAACCAAACGGCTTACGCATTTTCTATTTTAATGTTAAAGTGGACGCTGAAAAAGGCACTAAACTATTGATATACGTAAAATTACCGTACAAAAACCTTAACATAATGTGTCGCTATTTACATCAAAAGCAATTAATATACCATCGCATACCGACATTTCCTCAAAACTTTGGTGCAAAAATAGAATATTTTGAAACAGTTTAATCCATATCTCACTTTAATTGCTAGGCAAATCACATCATTTTAGCCTAATTTACGGAATCCACATCGTAAAACACGGAGGCGAAAGGATACCGAATTACAAAAGCCAGCAGAGTACACAGAAATTGAATACCCAACAACACTGTGGACAATTTCGCTTCATGCATTGGGCCAAAATAAAGCAAAACTAAATTAATCAGGGTAAAATTATTGGTAACAACTACGCCGTTCTTTTCCTCCCATCGAATCAGTCTAAACACTCTAAATAATGATATTACTATCTTTCCAAGAACACTTAATTCGGAATATTGAAATACAGTGGTACTGCATTCCATTTTATCAGTTCGCGAATTAAACTTCGGTAATCGGTGTCGAGGGCATGGGATTAGCTTCATAAGTTGCGGAAAGGAGTAAAGAAAGTTGAACACTTGCGGTATAAAGAACAACAAGGCGGTCTTGCTAAAGCGGCCCAAAATTCCGACTACAGCAAAAGTCATCCCTGAGAAATAGCAGAAAGTGTCGCCTACAAATACCGATGCAGGGTACCTGAAAATAAAATTATGAATAACTAAACTGAATATAAGACAGGAAAGAAATGAATAAAAAATCGTTTAAGTCTGGAGGTATTTTATTTGCTATCATAGAGTAAAAGCTTGTCTTTACATTCTCTTAAATATCACAGCTCATGGACAAGGTTTTAGTGCTTAACAAATCACAAACAAATCTGACTAGCAATATAAATGGACCGGAAAAATAATTGCGAAGCAATCAATTAAAACCCATGAAATGTCCCAGTGTAGGAATATTCCAACGCGCTTTAGTGATGTTCGTCCCTAGATTATTTAAAATTCTACATTAAATTTCTGGCTAAAATTTAACTTCAGAATTAAAATCGCAAACCATTTAATTGCTGCCAATGACAAGTTCTTGAAAATTACTAGTTGGGTGTCCGTTTTCCATATAATACAGTATGTAATTTCAGGTTTTACACCATGCAGATCTTTTTACGGAAAATAACATTTTCCTAAACTAAAATAAATAAGAAACACTGTATACTATCCGCTACTATGTATTAATAAAATTACTAACTATTCAAAGGCACTTTACATCGCTTACTACCAAAACTATATGTTTATGTAATATGCCGGAAGCAAAAATGCAAGCCAGTCTTTGGTTAAGTCCTTCTGAGATTATATGTAATCATCGTTTTGTGAGTAGAAGTTTATCAAGAGAAAATCGTATTTAAAATCGTTATTTATTACGTAAGGAGGCGCAAAATCAATATCTGAATACCTGTGCCCTCTTCCCAGTTCACTTTTACCATCAATGTATAAGCCTAATTCGATAAGATTTTCAATAAATTTATGAGTGATTTTGTCAGTGCCAATTTGGTTCCAGTTAATAAGCTGTTTTGAGCTGTTGCTTGTAAAAAATTCTATGATATCCTGAGGGGACGCACAATACTCACAAAACCAGCCCCCTGTATGATTTAGATCTCCTAATAATATACCTTTGGATGCAAAAGTTGCGATGGTTTTGCTACTGGTTAGAGTGTTCAGATCATTATTCAGCTCATTTCTCAAATATGAGACTGTGCATGCACCACCAGATATTACAGTTTTCTTAGGATGGATCCAGAAAAATCCGAAAACGCTCCACTTTAACCGAAAATAAATCGGTTCAGGGATATTTTCATAGAATTTCATAAAAATTAAAGACGAACGATCAGGTATTTCATTAGATGGGCTGGAAATTACATAATCATCGCCCATCAGGTTTGATATCTGGGACTCCGCAAGTTTCCAAATATTCTTTTCGGTGCAGTTGGCAATGTACAGGATTTTGTGCTGCCATTCTTTAAACATCGAATTTTTTATTAGAGTCTCAAAATGATTGTTGCCATTTTCATAAACAATAAACAAATCTATAATGTCGCCAAATGCCATTATTCTAATATCTGCCAGGTTTTCACTAGACTTATCGTATTTAAATAGATAGATGAGTCGCCGTTCGAACGGCACCGGACCTTTCGGCTTTACGGGCTGTTTTTTCGTTAGAAGAGCTCTGAATAACACTTCAGGAAATCCACAGTCAGGTCCATGCCAACCTGAAAATATACCATAAAAGAGTCAGAAAGTGTACAGTTTCGGTTAAGGCCTAGCGCTTTTAATCAAATCGGTTATCTTCAGATCTTCAGAATGAAGAGAAGATTATACATGGTGATTCATTAACAATAGGAATTCATATGCAACACGCCAAAGGGTGATTCGATTAGCTCAAACATGGCCTTATAGGAAAGTTGACAGTTTCGGAAATACAGAAATTATGCATGAAACGTAACTTCGTGTTTTTGGCGACCATGAGATGTATGCAGTGACTAATTTTTTTTTTTATAAGTTTGTTCTTAATCACTACTTTTGCCTTTAGTCGCCTTCGTAATTGCCGAATTGGGCTTTGAACGTCCTACAATGTTGAATTCTATTTGTTCATCATTAGTGTTTGAAGACAACATTTCTCAGATGTCCTCATATTCACGCAATTTTTCATATAAATAAGCGGTTGATTTCAACGCGCTACGAACATACATATAAGTTTTATAATACTCAAACACAGATTGCAGAAATACAAGTTTTGAATTAAAATAAATAGGTACTATAAGGAAAATCGTACGTAATTTAGTGTTGAGTCTTGATATTCGTGGCACTTTGGAGATTTATATTGCTGGCAACATAAAATTAACCAGGATAAATAAGAATGTACTTACCTGGTAAACAGTTACATTTCCAATTAATTCCTTTAATAACACTCATGGCCTTGATATCCGTACCTTCTGTAAAACACATACTCGTGTTGAAATCCAGGAAAACCTTCTTGGAGCAAATTTTTTTCAAATCTATGATATCTTTTAGAGTGTAGTAAGTTTTTTGGTTGGTTTTGTCAGATGCATAGACTTTGGGAAGAAACGCGATTTTGTTCAATTTCTTCCTTGACTCCGATTTATAGAAGAGAAAATACGAAGTAATCAAACATAACTGCACTAGGATCAGAGATAGTAAAACTAATCTATTTCGAAAGGGTCGTTGGGTAAACATTTCTGTCCTAAATTTCAACTTAATTTATCTGCAGTGCTCCTGATTCACTGTGGCAGCAAGTAATGTCCCAAAAGAGTCCATAATCATTTCCTATTTATATCCAATCCAAGGACCAAAGTATTTTTGGGCAATAGCATGTGAAAAAAAACTTCATAGTGTTTGTTTACTATTTTTAAGGGCGCGACCTGCTTAAGTTTGACAACTTTTACACACTGTTGCCGAACGTTTCAGCACGTCGTGAAAACTTCGAACGCTGTGACGTCAGCTACGAGATATTTTAACGCATTTAAAGGGCATCTCCTTCCCCGATTGCTGGATTACTTTTGAATCCTATTGAATTTTGTTTAACTGATAGTTAACCGCATGTACTCACTATAAAAGTGTATTAAATATTTTCCTATTTATATAAAAATGGGTTGCAAAAGCCGATTTTTGACCACAAAAAAATTGTGTGGTGCGGCATTTTTAGCGAATTTTCAAAAGGCAACAGTACAATCATACCGAAAAATTATTGATAAACAAAACTGACTACCTTAGCAAAGTTGTGTGCATGCAGATTCACTTCACTAAACAGGGTGTTTAGCAATTTGCTGGCACCCGAAACGAGAACGTAACTTACCAGTTATGTTTCAGCAAGGCCAACGAAGTGCCAATGTAGGGCCACATAAAGTACAAACTGAACTGATGGGCCTTCCATAAGGGCCCTGACAATTCCAGCAGATTGAAAATTGCTATTGAAATAGCAATAACCACACTCTGACCTGCCTCCAATCCATTTACTCCAGCTAATTGGGAATGCCATTAAGCAATTTAAAATACTTGGGGTTCGTTGTAAAACGACTTACCCAGTATATTAATGGCATTAGTGCAAAACACCGCCAACATTCCCATGTAAACATAATAAATGATGCCTATATCGAGGGAGACTCCCAACCACTCCCTGAACGGCTTTGGAACTATGATGGACGTTGTGTTGAAGCTTACATAGTACACCATAAGCAGGGGCAGTGAAGCGATTGTGGGCAAGAGCAGTTTTTGCCTCCAAGGAACATCGAGAACGTCGTCAGCAAAACCCAGTAATAACATGCAGCATATTGATAGTAGGGCCAGAATATATTTAACATACTGAAACAGATGAGAGATCTGTGAGTTCACATGGTCCCTTAAGGCCTGGAAATAGGCGAACGCCAGAAAACGCTAACCTCATCATAGGGAAACGCATCTTTCTCCAGAAGGCTGTTTCCAAATGCCACAGGAATAAAGAGAACCATAGTAACTAAGAAGATAAAGCCGGAAACCACCCCGAGTGATTCGGGTCTAAAATCGGTAGAGATTTATTATAGAATCCTGGAAAGTCCGCAAAGTAAACATTACACTTTGTCGCTGGTTGTCTTGCTCATATCAATCCCGAATAGATTGGCTTTGATGAATTTATCCTTTAGCTTAGGAATTACCCTGAGAGTCACTAAGTAGCTCAAAAAGGCCATGAATATATTTACTACATGCGGAAACATTTTTAACTGATTTGCTGAATGTTCATTATCAACCAGAGACAAGTACTTGTCTCTGTTATCAACATCCACGTCAAGCGCCATTTTTAAACTGTGTTCAATCCACAGAGTAGAGGTTAGGATAGACAAACATCTATCAAAATAATAGTCTGCCAAAAAGTATTTATATACCCTAACAAAATAAAAGAAGAAGTATTTCATATAAGAATTAACTATGATGGTATTTATTTAGAAAAGTTCTTTGCTCTTTGAGAAAATTAGTTGCATTGTTTGAAATACATTCTAATTAATTTTTCGTCACGGTACAGGACTAGAGCTTTGTCTCTTTGTCTTCCACACAAAAATTCAAAGTTTTTTAATTGTCTATTATACAAACATCTGAGGTTGTTAGAATCAAGTCATGTTGACAATGTGTTCTAAATGAAATATTAAAATATAGTGAAAACATATAATCATTAAAAAGGAACGCTTTTATTAATTTGTTAATTATTTCGGCAGAAATCTACTTGCGCTGATTAAAGAGTCGACGAAATATATATTCGTCCAGGAAATAATGTTTTTGTGAAAAAAAACTAAATCCGCATGTTCGTAGTGTGGTAGATACATTTACTTAACCAGATTTCTACATGTATTTCTTAGAAACAAAAACGGAAATGTACAGTTAATTAAACATCATATCCAACAATGTGGCGTTTTCCAATGCACTCTCCAACATAGAACCAGCACCACACCTACAGCAAATTGAAAAAAAAGTAAAGCTTTTGTCTATTGAAAGTATTCGGTTTTCGTACCTCAATTGCTATCAACGAGTTGACAAATCCATCTCGGACGGTTGTGTTTTTCCAGTTTCCATTCTTGGCACCACTGATAAGCCTTCCAATTCCGGCTCTGATTTGGGGAATGTCAGAGGCAGTAGGGGGAGTTAATTCAACTTTTGCATACTTCCAGAAAGTCTGGAGTCCAGGTCGAGCATCAGCTAACAGCTCTGAAACAGGAAATTACATAAATTCCACACTAGTTTCCGTGGGAAACAACAAATGTTGTAAAGGTTTGAAACTGCTGAATTATTGATTGGAAACAATTGCTGAAGGGCGGAGATACAAAATTTAACGTGTAACTTGTACTAACGAGGGCAGGTACAGACTGGTCACTGTTAAATTTCCATTGATCGAACTTCTAGTAATTTTAGAGCCGACTTGGTGTCTCACCGTGATTATTTCTTAATTGAACTTGAAGTTTGAATTTTATTTCAATGCATGTTAATTGTTTTTCGATGTTTCAGTTGATAGTTAGTCAATTAATTTGAAAAAATGTAATTTGGGATTACACTACTGAATTTTATCCAATTTCTGAACTCTTTGATCCTATTCGTCTCCTCCAGGCAAATCAAACATGCCACCGAACTTACATCCATAACTGAGACCTGTTTTCAGGCATAAAGGGAGAGTGACATAAGTGGCGCAAAAGTGTTTAGAACAATTCGTAAGCTTTTACTGCATTCCCTCAGAATTCTTAAACCCCGGACTGCTTCATTAGTAACCGTACATCTAGCAAAAAAAATCGCGTTTCGACTAAAGCCGTCAAATGAGCAGTTCTATGCAGAACTATTCAAAAATTATTAACGCTAATGCAAAGAAACGTACATTTTGTTGAAAAAATAGTTAATTTTACACACTTGTATGGGTTAAATTACATAATCAAATCGGATGGCATAACACCCAGTAACCGGAGAATCAAACTTACTGGCGGCTAGAGCTGGAACTTTAGAGGCTAATTGGGCCATTTCTTGTGGATTCTTTTCACTTTACCCCGGAATTAGTTAAATAATAAAGGCCCACTTTTGCCAGCTGAATTCACCGTGAATTCACCTTTCGACTTTGACGTTTAAAATGGCCCCAAAGTCGTCTTTTTCACTCAACACTCACCACAAACTAACCTCAGTCGGTTGAAAAAGAAGGAGAATTGGATTGTTTTGGTTTGACAACTTGTGATACAGCTCATCACTGTCATCACATTGTCCAGTCATAGCAGTAAATAGTAAATAAGCAAGATTATTAATTTTATTGATTAAGAGAAGATTAATTAACTCAGTCCTGCAAAATCTTTTAAAACGTTCGTTGGTAATTCAGATATGGATTTTGAACCTTTGGATCCCACCGTCCAAAATGTCATAGAACAGACAAGTCTTAAATGGATATTTGTTGGTGGAAAAGGTGGTGTGGGGAAAACTACATGCAGGTAGATAGAAAATTGGTTTTTCTCATAAAATGATTGAATATTTGCACCCCCTTCCTGTCGTTATTCCGCGGAAACGATTTTAACAGCAAATCATATTGTTTCAATTTAGCTGCAGCTTAGCGGTTCAGCTATCAAAGGTGCGAGAATCAGTACTAATCATATCAACGGATCCCGCTCATAATATATCCGATGCTTTTGATCAGAAGTTTACAAAAGTGCCCACTCTAGTCAATGGGTTCTCCAATTTATCGGCAATGGAAATAGACCCAAATGTCGGAATTAATGAATTGCCTGAAGAGTATTTTGATGGGGAGGCAAATCCCATGAAAATGAGCAGAGGTATTCATTGAATTAATTCGTTTTTTCCAACCCCCCACACACTCAATTTAGCAAATCCATGTAAAGTTCACGGTTGGTGTTTTTAGGGCTGCTTCAGGAAATAATCAATGCTTTTCCCGGGACAGATGAAACAATGTCGTTTTCTGAAGTAATGAAGCTGATAAAGAATATGAATTTTTCAGTAGTTGTGTTCGATACAGCTCCAACTGGGCACACGTTAAGGCTACTCTCATTCCCACATGCTGTAGAGAAAGGACTAGGTAGAATACTGGAAATCAAGCAAAGAATTGCGCCAATGATTTCCCAGTTCAGCGGACTGTTAGGTATGCAGGGTTTGGACGTAAATCGTTTTTCCGATAAAATTGACGAAGTCTTGAGTGTGATAAAGCAACTGAATGAGCAGTTTAAGGATCCTGATCAGACCACCTTTATTTGTGTGTGCATAGCGGAGTTTTTGTCACTCTATGAAACAGAGCGCCTGGTACAGGAACTCACTAAGGTCAAAATAGACACACACAACATAATAGTTAATCAATTGGTAATTAAAAATAAGGATGAGCCACCCTGTAGAATGTGTAATGCCAGAATAGGCATTCAAAAGAAGTATCTTGATCAAATTGCGGATTTGTATGAGGATTTCCATGTAGTGAAGTTGCCATTGTTAGAGAACGAAGTTCGAGGCGTCGAGAAAATTACAAGCTTTTCCGAATTTCTAGTCAAACCGTATAAAGTATAGTACACAATTTGATTCTAGGCATTTTAGGTATATGGTATTTTGGAAAAGTTAATTTACTATATAATTATAGGATCTTATGTATGTTAATTATCTCGATGGACGCCTAGACGTATCATATAATTCAGGTTGCTTATTGACTGCCTTTGTATTTGTTTGTACTGATGATACAATATTATGGAGATAGTTAGAATTTTCCTATTCTGAGATATATTCTGTTTCAATAAACGTGAAATGAAATAAATTTTTCGATTTGAACCGCTTTTGCAGTCTGTCTAAAAGTTGTAATTAAATCTACCTGTAGATATTCTGTTAAATCCTTTCTATAATTATTTTAAATATACATTTACCTTTGTTTCTTGTCAGTAAACATTTTTTTATACCTCTGTTGTAATTTAATAGTGATCGTGATATTAATTGATAAAGGGTGTTCTTCGGTACTTCTGGGGATTTCGGTCAAATCGCAAAAAAATCAATTTTTTGGGTCAACGTTTCGGCTATGTGAGTAGATATCTTCAGGGCTCAATTGTTTGTCCGCTTTCCTTGCCAGAAAAACACACAAAATGTTTATTAGGCCTTCAAATGGCTCAAGCCAAAACGTTGTTTTTTGGGTCCAAATAGAACAGTGGTTTTATGCGGTTATTTGACCGAAAAGTGGTACCAAAGAACATATTTTTCACATTTTTACATATACTTGTTTTTGTATTTATATTTTGAATTTGCATATACATATATTTTATACAGCTCTTCACAGTGTATGTTTGGTCTGTTGTATGAGAATGTCGTAGTTTGAACATATTTGTTATATAATAATAGCAATAATTATGTGAAAGACTAGTTTCGTTGGAAATGTATTTGCAGGTCGCCGAGATTAAATGTTATTTCGTCATTATTATAATTTATATTCATTTTGTTTAAACAGCCATTATAAACGTACTTTTCTCTTTTGGATTTTTTCTGATTTGCGATTTAAGTATAACCGGACCATTAAGGAGTCTTGCTTAAAAAAAGTGGGCTCAAAAAGTGTTTATTGGAGATACACCAAATGGCGTAAAGTGTTCACCCTAAACAACTGAACGATATTATTGCCTGCTGGTTGCATTTTATGAATAAATTTCTTCTTAAAATCTATAATTAAATACAATTACGAATAATTATTACCGAGAAAATAAATTATCATTAATAAATAACCAAAATAAATCTAATATGCAGGTTGTTAACTGAGGAATTTATCTTCTGGATTTCATTATCTATAAACTTTTAACAGCGCCCTCCGGTGATTTTAAAGTATTAAAATCGTGCAAGTTAATCCAGTCCGGCAGATGATTCTCCCTTAAATAAAACTCCTTAGTGACTGCTTTCATCGACAGCATCTCAGTTGCTCCATATATGGCTCCTGTCCAATTTTAATATTTTCATTAATAAAGTTTCGACATATTGAGGAAGATTACCTCCAAGCCATGCTGCGTAATTCTCTTTGTAAGGGCCCGCATGGAATTTAAATTCTTTAATATTTAGAACTTTGTATCTGTCCTCTGCAAGCTGCTTTAACAGCTCCTCTTTCAGTCTGGCTTTGAATCCTAAATATTCATTGTTTTGTTTAGTTAAAGCTTAGCTAATAGTTAAAATTTACTGTTAAATAGTTTGTTGGATACAGTTGAAAATCTTTAAAATTGGTCCTAAGAATTGCAAATTTGAGGGTGAAACTTACCTGGAGCCATAGAACTTCCGCCGATTAAAACGAGATTTTCAGCCAACGTTTGTCTTAGATCAATATCCACTTGCAATATAGCATCTAATATCATTGTGGATAAGCACAAATGATCATTATCCTACAACAGTAAATTATATTTTTTGTATGCTTCCCTCAATTTTAAGTTTACCTCTTCATATAAGATTTCAAATGCCTTTTCTCTAGTTTTGCCTGTAACCATGAGCGTTTCGACGCCCCTGTTTGGAAATTTTACATCTGGAGGAGGAACCATGTCGGTTCTAGGCAAAGCCAGTTGGTCGGCTCTGGATTTTTTCGTTACAAAACAGCACATAACTTTTATGTTTTCTATCACATCTTCAGGGAGATTTTTTACTCCGGTATTTGAAGCATTTAGAAGCGTTTTCAAGTGTCTACAAAGTTTCATTGAATTTCGTCAAAGATAATAATCACATGAGCCTTTACCTGTGAATGGATTCGCCTCCTAAAGGCAAAGCTTGCCAAGCTTGAACAATTGGTAAACCGAAGCATACTGGAATAGTCACAGCTTCTTTGTAACCGACATCCACAACTAAAGCAGTATCAATTGCCAAGCTAGCCAAGCAAACCAAATGGGATGGTACAACCAGCATTGCAGAAACTTCATATTGCAAAAATAGCACCTTAAAGAGTTCTTAAAATGATTAAAACCGCATATCTCGGATTGGCGATATGCACCTACTTTTGCCAGTGTGTCCCTAAATAGAGTCGGACAAAGCAACGATTCTACAATGACGATGGGTCTGTCTTTAGGGCTGATTAAGGCATACTCAAAGTAGATCATGTGAATGAAATCGACCAAGAAGTCATGGAGGTCTTGTGACGACTCGTAATCACAAAGTTTTTTCATTTGGCATGTTCGCTTACATCGGACTTCAGACCGAATAATGTGTCGTGGGGCAAACTCCCCAGTGAATCCAAATCTGCAATCGCAACAAAAAGGATTTTTTTGGATTTAAGTTTTGTGTAACATAATTGAATTACTTGGTGAACGCAGTTCCTATATCTAGAACTACTACTAGTGGTTTCACACCAAATTCAGTTGTAATTGGCTCATAAATAGGCATTTTGATAAATTTCTTCGGAAGGTTTTGATGATGTTTGTCATAAAAGTAAACACCAAGAGGAAATGGGGTTACGTATGATTGACAATTAATGTTTCATTCAGCTCTTAACTAAAGATCCGGACTGGACGCACATCGGCTTTATAAAAGTGGCGTTAAGGCGGCATGTGTGCGTACGCAATGCTATGCGAGAATGTAATAAGCAAAACCTGTTTTTCAGGTATTTTCACCAATTAATCTAAAATTATATTTTTTCATCCATAGCTAAATTGCCGATTATTGTAATAGTGGACAAACAAAAATTGGCCCCCAAATTCACCAACATGTAATTTTGATACTACAGAAAAAAGCAATATGAACAAAGCAAATTTAAATATCATGCAAAATAAAAGAAGGACTGGACGAAAATTACGAACCAAAATATAACACAGGGAAAACCAAACACTATGCAAGGTACGTAAAAATTATTATGCTTACGTAACACAGCAGATTTTTTGGCGCCCAACTTTGAACCATCCTTGTGCGTATTCTGTACATCGGCATTGGCAACACTGGTTTCGTGTAAGTCGCAGATTCCAAATAGGAAGAGTGTTATTTTTTTGTTTGTTTTTGTGGTATTTTGTTTTGTGCTTACTTATGCGGTCCGTGCAGTTTTCATGTGAGCTAACTGCTATATTGTGTATCCTTAGAACAACAAGAAAACAGGTAACTTAGCTTTTATTTACCATATTTCCTTAAAAGTTACTAACTAAGGTTAATGTTCAAATGTCATTAGTTTGGTTTGTCAGTAAGGCAATATGTATACAAATTTTAGTTTTCAGTTTTATTTGCTAAAAACTCAAAACTATGTAGATTCGTTTTATGTTTAGTGAAACTTGCTGTCTCCTTGATCTATTCGGCGTCAAACACTAGCATTCAAATAAATGGCGCTCGAGTATCAAAACGCGTACAGGCAAAAACGTTCGGGGTCTGTGAGCTATCGCCAAAAACTTGCCGTTTTAAAGCGGATGATCGTTGAGTATGTTCACGAAAATGCTGCTTTGGTGGACGAACTTGAAGAGGTCGAGGCCAAGATAATAATGAGAAAGGAAGAGCGAAAGTTTCTGCTCAGGAAATTGTGCGAATATGACTCAGTAGTGGCTCAAGAAGTGCAAAATGCAGCGAAAGGGGGTGCACCAGCACCACTTGCTGTTAACGATGTAAAAAAGTACAAGAAAAAGCCTTCAGAATCCTCAACCTCCGAGCGACGGTCTTCTACTTCTAAACCTAGACGGCCGAGCGTGAAGAGCAATAAAAAGAAATACGTTCAACCAGTACCTGTCGATTCGGGAGGTAGACCAGTGTTTCCCATTGATCTAGGAAGGTTAATAATACATTCTTTGGGTGAAGTAGTGGTGGATAGGTCACAGTTCCACTCAGAAGAAGCTATTTTCCCAGTTGGATATGTATCGACTAGGATATATGGCAGTTTAAAAGACCCCACGATCAAGTGCATCTACACATGCAAAATATCAGAAGAAAACGGCCTACCAAGCTTTGCCATAGCTTGTGACGAAACTACGCCAGAAATAACAGGGGACACTCCAGATGTATGCCATTCCTTACTTTTGCAGCAAATTAATGATGCCCTTTCATTGAACGTTGTCAGTACGAGGCCCAGAGGAAATGAATTCTTCGGCCTAACTCATCCCACAGTGCTACATTTGCTCCAGAGTTGCACAGGAACGAGAAAATGTATCAACTACAAATGGACACGGTTTGAAGTATCCAAAACAGCGGAAACCAGCAAAGACTACAATGACGCGGGGCTGAGTTTCGACTATTTGCAGAGAAGTATTAACATGTGCAAGTATAAAATGGCACCTGATGTACTACAAAAACCTAGTGATTTTATTGACAGTATATAGTGAGGAATTGCTTTAGTTTTATGGCAATACGGCTAATTTGTACAATATGATGTGCACTTGAGAGCCATTTAATTTCCTAGATTAGACGGTTAGAGTTGGGGAACTATAGAAGCATTGACTATTGAGCTGGTTTCGGGTAGATATCAGCTATCCTTAATTTTCGTATTTGCTTACTCAAATGTCTGCAATTCATCTGTTTATAATTTTATATATACATTCACTTTATGCGCGCTTTTTCTAGTTTAATGTTCATTTAATTCAGGTGAAAACTGTTAATAACCTTAGCAAATTGCGCCTTTTGCATTGCATTAAGCATATGAATACTATTGACATAAAGTATACAAGAAGGACACGTTTTGGTGTTTTTATATCACGCATAAAACATAATCCATTATACCTAAAATGCGTTTTTTATTGTAAATGTAGAACATAAGTTACTTGAAGACGAAATGGCGAATGCGACGAATGGATAGGATTGTACGAGTAAATAAACATTGTTTGCTCCATCTTTTAAACGTTTGTTTGGCATCTCTCGAAGAAGCTGTCTGATTGAAAATAAATTTTGAAATAGATTTTTGGCAAATGGTTTAAAATTGCTGGGTGAACAGCATGCTAAGATAAAAGTGACCATTAATTATTCGTGGACGAAATGGCGAATGCAACGTATGTTTTATGAGTAAACATTATATAGGTCCCATTTTAAATGTGTATTTGATATCTCACAAAGAGGCTGTAAGTAAATCTTTTATTAGCCTTTAATTAATTGCCTGATGGAATATATTTTTTTAACCTGTGAGGAACGAAATTTAATTTCAATTGGCTGGTAAGCAAACAGGCACATTTCAATACGTGGACAAGTACTAAGGTGCACAACCTGTACAAGATTGGCTGCATCCCATTTTTTGCGTGACGGCGTAACGCCCCGCAATTTTTTCCGATCGAGCCGGTTTTTTTATTCGGGGAATCGGCCATTCTTGTCGGTTCGCTGCCGAGTCAATATAAAAGTTACGACAAAAGCGAGAATTCCTCCGGCGGCGCCAAGACCGGTCCGGTTAAAGTGTTTAGTATGGGGACATGGCCTAAGAGTTCTTGTGTCTTAAAAAAGGCTCAACGGGTGCGATTCTGAGCCATTTTTATTGAAAATGTGAAATTAATGCGAGATTTGAAACCGCTCTTAGTCTTCGGCTGATGTTGAGGGATTCCGTTGAGCTGCGAAGCTCTAGTTTTCATTGCGGGATAGAGTCTTAAATTACGCACTTTTTATACCAAACCTCATTTTAGGAATGTTTCTAGTTTTCACAGAAAATGGATGCGGGTTTTTGAAACCGCTCTTAGACTTTGGCTTATGATTAGAGAACCGATGGAACTGCGAAGCTCTAGTTGTCATTGCCTGGATAGAGCCTTAAATTACGCACTTTTTTATATCAAGCATCATTTTATAATGTATCTAGTTTTCACGCAAAATGCCAAAATTTAGAATTAATCCGGGTTTTGAAAACCGCCTTTAGTCTTTGTCTGATGTTGAGAGAACCGGTTAAGCTGCAAAGCTCTGGTTACCATTGCGGAATAGAGCCTTAAATTACGCACTTTTTATTCCAAACATTATTTTAGGAATATTTCTTGTTTTTACGCAACATACGAACATTTACAATGAATGCGGGTTTTGAAAACTCGCCTTAGTCTTGGGATGATAATTAGAGAACCGATGGAGCTGCAAAGCTCTAGTTGTCTTTGCGGAGTAGAGCCTTAAATAACCCCCTTTTTAATTTCATGGATCATTTTAAGAATGTTTCTAGTTTTCAGGCAAAATGCGAAAATTTAGAATTAATCCGGGTTTTGAAAACCGCTCTTTGTCTTTGCCTTATGTTTAGAGAACCGGTTGAGCTGAAAAGCTATAGTTACTATTGCGGAATAGAGCCTTAAATTACACACTTTTTTATTCCAAACATTATTTTAGGAATGCTTCTCGTTTAAGAATATTTAAAGTTTTCATGCAAAATGCGAACACCCAAAATTTACATATACGGTTGAGTCACTTTTTTTAGATAAGGAACTTGTTGAAACAATTATATTCAAAATGGATCAAAGACCCCAAGAAAAACTTTTGGATCACAAGAGATCGGCCGTTTTATAAAAATATTTAATATTAACACTGTATTTTTATTTTTTCAAATAGCAAGATACATATTTCGTCGTTTCAGTCCCAAATTAGATCATGGCGCAGTACACTGGTATGTGTGAAAAATAAACAAAAATAAAACTTGCTTAATGACCCACATCCTAAAAGTACTAGAGGACACTAAATATAGCAGTTGGATCAGAGAAAACAACAATTCAGGCTCCAAAAACAACAAGAAATGTCTGCTTATCTATCTACTATGAGATCCGCATATTATCCAAAATTTGTTATATCAAATTTACCTGTTCTAGTGCACCGAAAATGGCACTTACGGTCAAAACCTCCACATTAAGGACCAAATTCTTAAGTAATCGAATATATTTTAGTGCCTGAACAAATAACTAGTTCTTCATTTTCGTGCGATGCAGAAGATTTCAACCGATCTTGGACTAAACGAACGACAGTGTTGTATTTATGGCTTTGGGAGCGTACCGTAAACACCAAGGGCTAATAAAATATATACCAACTGTTGCCTTCAATTGGTATTTTATCTTGTTTACCGGAGGCAATATACAGAGGACTGTGATATTATCAAGCTTTTTTATATCAAGTGTACTTTATCGCGTATTACATGTATCAACCTAACGAACATACCGACGTAAACGGCGGCATTTGATTTGTTAGAAGAAATTGAATTCAGTCGATTTTCAATTTTAGTTCATCACAAATTCATCTTCCACATCGATATTTCTTGTGCTGCAAAACAAAAAGCTTTCGAAAGTAAATCTTGCTTCAATTCATCTGATTAGAATTCCCATTTACATTCCATGCAAAACCCAGATTTCCCATTTATTGTAAATTCTCAAACTTATGCTGATCGTTGTTGTTTTTTCAGACAGTTTGAAATCTTCAAGGCGATGTTTCACGTCCAACGACTCAAGAGCGAAGTTATAGTGTTGAGCCAACACGACGTTCACTTATAAGGTAGGTGCTAATTTTGGTGTTTATTAATAGTGGACAAACTGTTAAGACCTGTGGGTAAATAAACTTCTCCTACAAATACCAGACAACTTTTTATGAGAATCATAAATAGTTCGGTGTGCTGGTTTTCAATATTTTATAATAGGTCGTTGCCTATCGACTGGAGTCGTTAGCCCATTTCATTGTTTGGCGACTATCTGCTAAAAGACTTTATAGTATCTAATCTTCAGCAATAAGCCTCGCCAATGTGGAAAGTTTTATGGAATTTTTCAGTTTAATTGAACAGGCTCAAAATGCTAGATTTGGTACGTACAACTGCTATTAGTCAGGTTGTTCAAATCATTTGAACGCACTTATAGAAGCTATTTTTGGTTTCGTGGAATTTACTTGGCGCGTTCCAACGGCTTTTGGAGATTTAGAAGCCTTTGCTAATTTAATTCGCTGGAAACTTACTGATTTGATCAAAACACTCTCTGTGTACTTAACTCATGTAAATTGCATCACAAATTCATTTTGAAAATAAGTACTGCGTTCCAAATGTGCAGCTCTTTGTATTATTGTACATGTTGCAAAGGGAATTTCATGTATTTTTTTAATTTTGTCATTATTTTCTAATATTATTTTGAAGTACTACTACCATTGTTTGGCTAAAGTAGTTTTATTTGTCAGAAAAAATGTTTTTGGACCAAAGTAACTGATTTATCTCCATCACAAGAAATGTTTCATTATTTCAATTCATCGAACTGAGGAATTCGGGCGGCAAACATGTGAAATAAGCTGACATTCGTCTTTGGTTCTTATACCTTTAAATAATAAACTGTTATAAATTAGAATTCCATTTATATTTTGATGCTTTACCTTTACATCTTGCATATAAACTTTTCTTCTGGTGAACCAACCATCTTTGAATAGTAAAATAAACATACGAATCATCAATCATGCACACTTAAAAAATAAATTACAATCTCACATAATTCGGTAAGTGCGCCTCACATTAAGTAGCTTCTTACGTTTGAGAGGTACTAATCAAGTACCGCGCTCGACTGAATTATGTCTAAAAGTAAAAATGCATGCATTATAAAATCCACCTGCTGGCACACAAGATTCCAGCTCTTTCCTGCGAAGTCTTAAAAAGTTATTTTTGCGATCCTTGAGGAGATACGGATTGTCCCGCGATTGGCAATGCGCAACCTGTTTGCATAAAACCATTTTACGTGCTGCAAACACGCAGGATATGTGGTTCCCGTGAGATTATTGCTCGTATTCGAGAACCTTTTTCGCTGGAAGAAATACAATGATTGTCGTCGAACGACTTTTGTGAAAACCAGGTGCTTTTTTTAAATTAATTCTGTTCATCCATTGCAAACCAGAGAATGAAAACTATTAGATTTTATTTTTGAGCCTAGTTTAATTCATTCTAATTTTGCCATTATTTTTATTGTTCACTAGTCGTTTTTTTTGCAATGTTTGCTATTAGAACTACAGTTATTTTGCAGTTTGAAAAGATTGAATTGCCCCAGCATTTTACTATCCATTGTTCTTGAATCTCGCAAATCTTGTTTTTCTTTCCGATTGATTTCGCCATTAATCTTTCAACGAATTATTCACATGCTCAAGCTTTCAATGTTCTGAAACGGGGATTGAACATCTGCAGTCGTACATTCACCTTTATACCAAGAAATTTTTGAAGCGATCTTATTTTTACTGTTTTTGATCAATGAGCGCAATCAAATAGAAATTCATTCAAACACCGCTGAATTGGTTGACCGGAATTTTCTGTGGTTTGTTTTAAAGTTATTTACTTCCACTAAATTAAAACAAAATTTATTCATCATTTTTCGGTTTTTCTCACACTAATCTTTTGACTGATACATTTAGCAGCAATTATATTAAAATTTGAGTACTATCAAGAAATGTATTAAACCCCAAGATTATTACGTTAGCCACACGACTTGGATGCAACTCCTGTTCACTTAATAGTTTGGAGTCGCTCCAAGTAGGAATCAAACAACGTCGAAATCGTTCATAAAACCCATGACTTATCGAAATTAACCCAAATTAAAACAAATTACTTAGAAGCTCGGATATATTTTACATCAAATAAATGACACCCATGTTCTTGTTTATGAGTCGACTTTTGGCCTGAAAATGTAAGTCTTTCTTGATTTACGTAATTACGGAAATGTCTGTTTTTATCGTGCGACACATAAATAAACGGAGCTTCTTTTTATTGACTGTGTTTCCGATATGGCATTTTTGTAATGTTTATTAACTTATTATTTAAATCCCGTCTAGAATGTGTTTGCTGCCCCTTTTGTCCTAGTTTAAGTTTACTTCTGAAATCTGACTGAGCCATTTATTTTCGTATAATGGCCCGGTTAACTGGCAGTGTAGAAAAATTTGTTCAAATGAATAAATCCCTTCGGCCCTTCTGAGAGAGATTAGATGAAGCGATTCCAATCTAAACGGGCTGGTGTCGTGTAAAACGGGCACTAAAACCCTACATCTTCATCCCATCAGATCGCATAGGCGGTCCGAATCACGATTTTTTCTTTCTATTAAAGTATAATTTGAATGCGACAATAATAAGATAAGAAAAAGTAGTCTGCGGTGATTTATTGAAGCTCATCCTGCGGTCAGAGGCGTCCGAAAGCTTTTGCAGTTCAGTGGATTTAGCTGAATCTGATGTTAGTTAGTTTGAGCATTTGCTGCTCCACCACTGATTAAAAGGAAATATTAATATGATATACAAACCCCTACGCTCTATGCGTCTAGAATATAACCCGCCATTAGAGTCTTCGCAGGTCGCCGCAACAATACCTGCCTACAAAAGGGTCCTTGTTGGATCATTAAAAAATTGCCCACGTCATTATTCTTCCCTATATGGTAATTTTATTCATATTATATTTTATTGTATGAGTGCTTGGGATGTAAATAAGACGAAATGCTTTTTACGATGAGTAGTCGAGTTGGTCTTTCGATAGCTTATTTATGCGCTTCTTAAGCAAATAGGAAATAATTCACTGGATGTGCATGAGAAACAATAAGAAGCTGTTTCGGTCATTAGGGCTCCAATGGAAAGAAAAAAGTTAACAGAAACAAATTGCAACTTTTCCAACTCAAAATAATAACTTTACTTATGTAATTATAGATTCTTGCAAACACGCATATCGTATTTAACCATCGGCTTCCCAAAAACATGCAAGCAGTATCGTTATCTTGAAAAATAGTCTGGCTTTAAAGAGCTGAGGCACTAAAGTATGCAAATTTACATATCTAAGTATTTTGTGAGATTATGCGGCTATTAAGAAGGCTTTTGGGCCACTGTAGGGTGTGATCGTCGTATATTTTGTGCTGTTTATTTGAACAGCGGGTTTGTCCTCCAATCGATGTCCTTTAAATGGACGTGTGGTCGTAAAATCGATGTTATTTCCATCGAATGGAATATTTAATGATGAGCAGAATATGCCTTGAATTTCTGGAAATAACTGTGCAAGAAGACTTTTTGGCAATTAAGGGCGGAATAGACCGAAAATGGAAATCGTCTAAAACCTTCTGTAATTGCTGCAAGAATGTCTGTTCAAATATGTTCCAACGAAGCGAAGCTATGGGCAATATTGGCGGTGGAAAAAGCAGCAAAGCCAATTAAGATCTTCAAGAAATCGCATCAAAAACCAAAAATTACTTGCATTTCACAATGTTTGGATTTTTTAAATATTGGGTCTAATGAAGTCATATGGCACCAAGTGCAAAATTAACTTCCCTTCAAAGCATTTTGAATCTACTTCACTTTCCGATTAGTCGCATTACAACAACAGAAAGCAGTAATTTCCATTGAACATCTTCTCGAAGGCCCCTAAGGAACGAATTCCATTCATCAAGTTCTAAAAATGGATTTTTGCTTTGCTTTGAAAGTAGTACCTACACAGACAGATATGTTTGAAAAGCCCAGTAAAACGCAGTTAATGATAGTTTGGAAGAAAGTCGGTGCATCAAAAATTGTAAAAATTGAACGAAAAACTCGAATTCTTTGCTTCAAAGAAAAAACGAAGTGTAAAGTTGAGGGGCTTGGTTAGTTGTCCAAGACAGTATACCCCGAAGGTTTCATTATGTCCTCCGTATAAACTGGCTCTTAATAACGACATATTTCTCAAGATAACTGGCAATGGAGACTGCATTTCTTTATGACGTTTAATATAATGGATAGCGTTGCAAAGACGTAACGAAATGGCCGATGAAGACGACCCAACAACTATTTGAACCTGTTCAAGAATGTACGCTGTTGCCGAGCTCGGAGTCAGCCAGCAAGTTTTCTGATTAATTGGATTAATTTCGGGTCTAGTGCTTCATCTTAATTAAATATAAAAAAAATTATCTTGATATGCTTCTAATAACAGCAAACATGTTAAGCCACTAATGCATTCCTGTGGTAATCGTACAAAAAGTAGGCGGAGCTTAAAAAAAAATGTTTTTAGCAGGTTTTGTAATTTTATATGTATGTATGTTATGTGTGTAATTATTATCAATAATTCGGATAATAATTATTATTATCGTTCTTTAACAGTTTTTATTTGAAATCAGAATCGGGTGCGAGAAAATTGGTTTGCAAAGTTGCAAGAAACAGTGGCGAGGAATCACCTTAATTTAAGTGTGTTTTCATTTTTTTGGTAGAATAATATCTAACAAACATATTAAGAAAATTCACCTGAAGAAATATGTGTGTGAAATCTTCCAGAAAATGCAAAAATATTCAGCATTTTCAATGCCCTGTTAATTTGTCGAAAAATTTGTTTATTTGTTTGATGATTCAGTTTTACTGTGCAAATATAAATGGGAAACAGATTTATGCAAACCGCAATCACTAAATATTTCATGAATGAAAATATAAGCAATTTAAAAACGGTTTGACACGAAAACTTTTTCGATCGATCTGTGTGAAGATTTTCACATTATTTGTGAACGATTCTGTGAAAAAACAAATAAACAAATAAAATTTCTTTGAGTTTATTTTCCTAACTCTGGAAAATGTTCAGAAACGGCTATATTGACTGCAAAATCTTTTCAACGATACAGGGTGCATACAGGCAATAAAAAACCGGTTTTTGACACCAGAAAAAACGATATTTTTATTCAGATAACTGTGGGTCTCATCTTTTAAAAGAGCTGCAACCAAATTATGTCAAAAGGATAAAAAATGCCAAAAACACACAATTGCGAAATGTTGAGGCAACAGCAAAAATTTGTTAAAATGACCTGAATTAATATTTTTTCGTTAACAGCTGGTAGATATATTGAAAAATATAGTTTTCAGGCGGGGTATGTTTAGCAAAATTGCATTTAAACCTGTGCAAATTGCAAATGTGAGTCGATATTTTCACATTATTTGTGAATTAATTTTTATAACAGGAAATGCCAAATTCTTACATTAACTAAGTCCTCTACTGTGTTGTGGAAAATACTGCAAAAACGCAATGGAAGCAAAATATTTTCACGGTGTTAAAAATGCGATTTACAAATTTGAACTAAGGCAACAGCTAATTTTTAGAGGAGTTGGGAGGAATTTTCATAAATTTTGGCATTTCTAGTCATGTTATCAACTTGTTTAAGATATAAATTATTTCGATGAAATTTCGGGGTCTGAATCCAGCGACAAAATAAATTAACAAACTGAAACAAACTATCTAACGAAATAATAAACAGATTTAAAAGATTTATACGGTTAGTAAACAGTTAAAATCACATTTGGTCATTTGGGTGTTTTCTTTATGAATTAATCTGATAGTTTGGTCATTGAATAAATCCAGTATTTCATTTAAATAAATTAGCGATAAAATATGATTTTCAATTGAAGAATTTCCATATAAAGTTGTGTTATACAGTTTTATTGGGAGTTTTATAACTTTGGCTAAACATTTCTCGGATATTTGGGCAATCCATCACCATTGCTAAATACCATAGGCCATTAAAAAAATATGCAACAGTTTACCTGCAGGCAACATTGTTTCATGCATATGTTTTAATTACACGCTGGCTAAAATTCGAAAATTTCCCATGCCAAATGGGCCAAAATAAATGGGCGCGCTGCAACGATAACTACGGCAAAAATAATAACT